CGGTGCTCTCCCTTGTGCTCGCGACGCTTCTGGCAAGAGTCCCCTTGATCTCAGTCTTGCGCTTCTTCGTCGCTCCACTACCTCCCCCAGCACCGCTGCTCCTGCTTCTGCGGCCGCTATTGATCCATCAACATCCGATATCAATCCCTCCGAAGCACCACAGTCGGTTAGAAGCTGTTGCCTATTGACTAATAAATACCCTGATTCGCAAGAACGTGCTGCATTTGGCTCAAAAGTAACTTTTGAAAATTATCGGAAATAGAAAATATGCCTTGCAGATTCATAAAGTGATTCGGAACCCAAAGTAAAGGCGGCTCGAAACATATCAGTGGGGAATACTTTTTGCAAAAGTCTTAATCATTGAAGCTGCTGAATAACTTTTGGATTCACACTGGATTAGTAAATAATCTTGGCGGTCAATGAACCAAATAGTACCTGGCATAAGTGTGTAATTTTGGTCACACATAGACCTCAAAAACTCCCTTTTTTATGAACTTTTGGAACCAGAACTTTTCATCCTGTTCAATGGCCTAAGCTTCTCATTACGTGTTAGGAATCACCGCAACGGACATCAGTTGTTGAGGGCAATCGAATCGAGCTTTCCATGGTTCCCTTCCTCGCTTCTGTTGCTCGGTACCTAGTCATCTCGGCTAATTGTGTGTCACCGCCTCGTGAAGAGCAGTCGCTCCAGAGCCTGCCCAGTGCGTTGCGTAGTCGTATTGAGTCGGTCGTGCAGACAGCGCTAAATAGTGGCATTTCCGCGCCTCTTCTAATCGCCGCTTGTTTGGTTGCTGCGGTGGGCCTGCAGCCGCACGACGTCGAACCGGCTGATCCTGTCGCTCCGCCTGCTTGTCTTTCCACCCTGGGGGACTCTGTTCTTGAACTCGCTCTCCAACAGTGTTTCTTGGAAGCTTGCCTCGCTTCTACCGCCAACGCAGAGGTCGCCAACGCTACAAATGACAGCAGTAGCAGTGGTGATGATAGGGGTGCGAGTCTGACACACCAACAGCATTGTCTCCTCGACAACAGTGAGACATCCACGTTAAATGACTTCTTTGCCACAGACAACCGTTCTGAGACGCGAGTGCTTCAGTCGGGAACTGTCAGTCCAACGGGGTCATCAATGTCCATCGCGAACTTCCTAGTGCCCTCGGAGTGGTCTACAGGTGCTTCAATGTCCACAGAACTCAGCCATCAGCAACAGAAACAAGCCGATTTCCCACTTAATCTGTTAGAACTTAGTGAAGAGTTGCGAGAGTGTATGGTCTGCTCAAGTCGGGATAGAGGTGCTCTTCTTACACCTTGTGGTCACATTGTTGCTTGTCAACAGTGCACACAGCTCCTCAAAAAGTGTATCATTTGCAGACAACAGGTTGAAGCCTACAGAGAGGTGAGAAGTCTAAGTTTGAAGCAATGATTCTCCATAAGTAGACCTGACTATTGTCCCAATTTTTTTGTAGATTCCAGCCTGTCGAGAATGCACCTTCAGACCTGCAGTTACTCTAACACGTTCCTGCAACCACTTCCTCGTCTGTCGAGAATGTCTAGTGCCTCGGGTGGCTCGGCTGAACCG